GAAATCGTGAGCATTTCCGTGAGTGCTTCTTCGCCCATAAGAGTCCAATGTGCAGGTCTAGCGCAACGTATATAAATGTAAAGTACGAATACCAAAATTTGTTTATATGATTTTTTCGGAAAAAAATTTTAGTTGTTAAATTTATTCAGGATCACAACACTCGAATTAGACCATCTGGGGAGAAGATTGGATCCATGTCTTGACCTTTTTGTGAAATTAATATCGTTCTAATTCTTGGATTGGCATTGAAATCACAGCCTTGATCAATTCTTTTATTCTCCAAGGAACAAGAAAGGAATCGTTTGAATTTGATATTTATCGAATTAAATTACTATTTTATTTATTTTTCTGTGAGTATTTGAATTGAACTTACTTGGATTAAAATGAGTATTTTTCACGTGGTGCCTTCTACTACAAACAGTCAAAATAAAAAATCTGCATGAAGTTTAATCAACCTACTTTTAACTTATTTTGAATGCTTCCCAGAGCTAGTGGCATATCTTTTGATATTATTAAATTTAAATGATGTGTTTTATATTGATTTGTTAATATCGCGATTGCAACGCTTGAGTACGCCATCTAGCGGGAGACAGAAAATATCGGACATTAGTGTTCCCACAAAACCATTGGCAGTGACGGACGCCATTTTATTAGCAGCAAATAAGAAGCAAAATTTCCCTGAGGTAAAGGTAGAACTTCTTGAAAAAACTAAACAGAACATGCCGAACATTGAAGCAGAACACGCCAAGCGTTTGAAGAATAATTTCTCAATAATTTTTACCTTTCTATTACCAACAACATAACTTCCAATTTCATGACCACTTGCTGTTACAGATTGTGTGTATTACGGTAAAATAATTTTTTCTGTCTTCAATTCATTACAAATTAAAGTGAAGTCAGCATTGAGTCAGCATTGCTTTCGTCATTCCAATGAATAAATAAGAATTCAGAATATGCACAGAACTGTATAATATATAGTTATAGAATATTGTTCTTCTTTATAGAATAGTATATATTTCAGTATCTACCTTATTCGTAAAACAACAATGAAGAATCATCTGAACTACTTGAAATGGATTCATTTGTGCTGATTATTAATAAATTTGTATCGTTTTCTTGGTAAGTATTTTTTAGTTTTGAAGGAATAATTTCAACTAGAATTCAGCTATTCTGTTTTTAAGCTACATATTCAAATTCATATCGAGATCTTACATTTATAAAATTTTGATGTGTGGTATGTTATCAAAAAGTAATGAAGGGATAATCTATGCATATATTATTTGAAAATAAAATTTTCAAACGAAGAACATTTCATTTGGAATTCTGCGGATTTATAAAACAGGTGAGTGTTATGATTTTTATAATAAAAAATTTGCTTGTAAATATTTTTTTTTCTTATTTGATGACAATATGAAAGTTTTTATTTCAATGTAAAGAATTCTTAAAATCGTTTTCTATCCTAAGAATTCTTTATTTTCCGTTTTTTAGTTTATAATTTTTTGATAAGAATTGTTGTCAAAATACTTTTTTTGAAAAATTAAATGGTATCCACCACCTACCAATTAAATTAAATCCCACCTCCAAATATTACTATCTATTAGTATTATAAACATTTAGATCTCTTGGTGAACAGAAGTGATTTTTTTAATTACAATTTTTTTAAATAACATTTATATTCTCAATACATTATATTGTTCAAGCAAATTTGATGAGTTCTCAACCATAATTTAAAACTTTCGGTAATAATAGCAGTACCACGTGATTTTCCGGCCAATAAAAATGCGCCGACAGCAATGGAAAACGGTATCAGACCATTATGATTTTATGTTATATAGCGATAATTGAAAAGTTAGTAATGATGTTAGTTTATTTTCTGTAGAGGAATTTTAATATTTTACTTAAATTAAGGTGGAAAACACAGTCATTTCACACAGTTAGAAAAATTTAAAGAACTGATTTATGATTGATTTACATTTTGTCAAGAAATTATGAAGAAACGATATAGGGGAAGAATTATAAAATAGCTGTAAAAGGCGGCAACTTTGAAAGCAATTAAATTTATTTATTAGTGAATGTCTACTTATTTACCATATTTCGTTAATTTATTCGTTTTTATTACAGTTACATAAAAACTTGATTGTCCTTTTTTTGCAGCACCTTGTATAAAAGTGTTTCCATGTATTTGTCCAATCACTGTATTCACAGAAATATGTACCTTTATTGTTTACTGTTGTCCATTTTGACGGTTAAAATCCAAGAAAAAAGCTTTATTTACATGAATTTCGGATCACCTTTAAATTTTGTACCAAGAGTCTAATCCCAAGCATTTATGTTCTAGTAGTAAGTGCAGAAGTAGAAGAACACAAACATCAATGTTGCACTTGGGACAAAAAGTACTGCCATATGTAAATCAGCGTGTTTTTCTTAAAATACAAGATGGCCTAAGATTCCTTCTTTTGAAATAATACAAAAAAAAAAAAAAAAAAAAAAAAAAAAAAAAAAAAAAAAAAAAAAAAAAAAAAAAAAAAAAATACATATCTCAGAGTCTTACATGGAAAATGTATCCCGAAAATTTCAACAAAAATATCAGTAATATCCAACCCTGCATGATTCGTATAAAATTCTGACTCTTACATTATATCAGATGTGTTTTTATATGAGATACAGTAGCGTCTTTCTCACTTAAGATATAAAGTATGTTATTAATTCAACTAAACTTATTTGTGGTGCCTTTTTTAAGCACACTCTTAATGCGGGTTTTATTCATACCATTTTATTTGTCCCCAAAACGTTCTTTTGTGACGTATCTACCACTATGATTATTAAACATCAATTCACTAATATATAAGAAGCGTCAATTTAGTGGAACCATATGAAAAATGAAGATTGACAGGGTCGACAACACCATCCCCACACCCGCGGACGTGATATGAACTCGCCTTCATCGAAAGTTACTTCGCTGGATGGTCCACATTGACTTGCTATTTGTGCCTGCTTCTCGCTCTGCTGCTTCCAAATCTCATTTACACATAACGGGATCTATCAAAATCTCGACTGCTAACAACGAGAACTTAATGCAGCTCTCATGACAAACACTCAAAACCCGGTGAACTTAATACAGCTCTCACCACAGGCGCCCAATATCCGGTGAACTTAATACAGCTCTTCTTGTCTTTTGCAAATACGGCAACTTGTGGTATCCGTTTATCGAATTCTATGCTTGATAAATTTCATGTTTCGTTACAACCACTACGATTATCAGTTGAGTAGTAAATAGCTCCATTCAATCTTGAGGTACCTTTTGATAGATGAAGGTTGACATTGACGAAAGCCCTCCCCCCTTCCACACTTACTCACTGTACAACCAGAAAAAAATGTCCTTTCTATGAAAATATGCGTTTATTGTATATTTTTGAAAATAACAAAATTGGACAATCTTCTTTACCATATACCATTTTTCCAAAAAATTATCATTTTACTTTCTTGATTTTACACATTTTAAAAACACACAATAATAGCTTACAAGTTAAAAAAAAAGACACTCTCGTTGGCAGTGAGATCGTTACCAACTTTGTGATCATTTTGAAAGTAAAAGCTTTATCATACCTTCTCGAAGTTTTGAGGCTCCCGATGCATTGGACTCTATGTGCCTACAAAAACTATGCGTGATGACTATTAAAGTTTTTATGTGGGAATCATGCAACTTATATTTTTATAAAATCATAGTTTCATCTAAAGGACAGAAGACTTTATGATAAAAAAAAAAACGTTCATATTTGATGCACAGTGATCATAAAGTTTTATATTATTTATTAGTTGCATTTTCTTTTTTTAGAACAAAAAATAGCAGGTACTTAAAATTTTTTTAATGCAGCCACCTGATCAAACCGTCTAGAAAACCTGAAAAAACAACTTAAACCACCGGTGATGAAATCATATTTTCGAATAATGATGCATACATACAACTAACTACACACATGCATTTAGTTTTAAAAAACATTTAATTTACGATTAATTACATCAAATTGTACAGAAACATGAAAGAATTATTGACAGAAAAATATAATATAAAGTAAATCAACAAAGGAACAATATAAATAGGCAATTGAAAGTAAAACTATTTAATTCCCTTTTTAACCTACCAATTCGAAATAAACAAAGTACATTAAATACACCCATTGTTTTCAAAGAGTTCTTGTAGGTTTAGGTGTTTAATTTTCTGGATCATGAGTTGTGATACTAATTATATAGTTCAGCATTTGTGATTGTATCTACAGTGCGCAAAGGAAATAAGGCAGATCACCTGGAGTAACTTTTGATCTAATGATCGGATCTTCATGTTTTATGACTCAATCTTAAAGGTTCGAAAGGATGACTGCAATCATGCTAATTAACTAGTGCATATGATATTTAAGTTACAAAATCAGGAACAAGAACATATTTTTTTTAATGAACATACCTTTATTTTTGACGAAATTAGATTTCTGATCCCCAAAATATAGGGGGTAGCCGCAGTCTGGAAAATACGGTCCAAATAGTTTAGTCAGGAGAGCGGTCTTTATGTTAATTTTATTTCTTGCGTAATTCCATCATAGCGAGAACTTTTCAAGTGATTTAAAAATTTTTTACGCCTAACTATAAAATTCGCTTGCCTAAAGATAATTCCATGCAAAATATCATTTTTAGTAAATATTTCTTATTTTTAATTTTTTTATTTAATAATAGTAGGAAATTTTTTAATTGTGAAGTATACAATTCTTACATAATTTTAAGGAATTTAATTTTGCACGGCGAAACACAAATTTTGAGCGAAATCGGTCGAATAGTTTCTGAGAAATTGAATTTAAAAAATACGACTTTCTCAGAATTTGATTTCTCAGGAACTATTCAACCAATTTTCCTCATTTGTTCACCATGAATTTGAATTTTTCCAATCAATTTAAAATTGTTTCACTTATTGAGAAACAAAATAATAAAGATTTATTAAAATTTTTTATTTTCGTGGAATTATCTTTGGATAAACGAATTTTATAATTGTGTGCGAAAACTTTTCAATTCGTTTAACAAGTTTTGGGGACGTGGCAAAAAAAGCAAAAAGTAAGATTAACTTTCAAGGATCCGAACTTCGTCTAAATTATTAGGAACACATTTCCCAGATTGTGACTTCCCCCAATATTTTGGTGATCGAAAATTCGAATCCGACAAAAAAAAGGTATATTTATTCAGAGAAAGTACACTTTTGTGTCTGATTTTCGTAACTTAAAATAAAAAGTCTGCACCAATTAATTACCCTATTTGAGCTCTACACTTCGAACCATAAAGATTGAGCCCAAGAACGTGAAGATTCAATTATTAGATCAAAAGTTTTTCAAAAGGTGGTCCTTTTTTGTACATGGTACTTTAAAAAAATATTGCTGACAGTGGAGCATTGAATCTATTCAATTTTTGAGCTCCAGATCTTCATTATAACTGTGGAAACTTTTTATTTGAATACTAAAGTTATCTGCATGTAAACACAAATTCTCAATCCGATCATAAGAGAGATTTTGCACGACGTCACGATTTCTCAATTACACTATTTGAGCTTCACAGCACATGCGCGAAATTTTTCTGTATCGATAGATTTATTTTCTGCCCCTTAATAATGGAACTGTAATAACATGAAAAAATTTCGCACATGCGCTGTGAACTGAAATAGCGTTAGAGTTGAGAGAAACTATACGAATTCTGTATCGTCGAATGAAATATACACAGAAAAATAACGTTATTATTGTTCAATATTTACAATGCTATTTCTCTTCTCAATTTAACTAAATTAGGCTCTTTTTATCTTAAAGCTATATTTTGAAATAAATTAAAGCTATTAAAAATCCACGTTTTACAGTATTCCTATTGCTTAGATAAATGTTGCTGCAATATTGATTCCATTTATTAAATATTTGAGTTCAAGATATCTGATACTTCTGGCAACCGCAATAAACTAAATTCGACTTTTTAACTTTATTAAAAAGTTGTTTTACTTCAATTATTTCTTTTACCAATTGTAGCTACTTAGAGAGTTATTAAAGCTATGCTAACTAAATATATGTGTTTGCATTTAAAGTCAAACATCACAGATATAAATTTATTTTATACTAAATTAAATCTTTTTGATACGGTTTTATATCTAAGTATTTTATTTAAATTTCCGTAGATAATTGCCAAAATTATCTTCGTCTTTAAAATTTCTTATAAAAGTTAACGTTTTGCAGACATTCCATTTTTTTTAACTTACGCACTTTATTACTTTACTTAAATAAAAAGAGCAGTGTAAAGCTATAGTAAATTGTATTCATCGATATTTTTACTTATAAACGTAGAAAGTATATCATAAAAATCCAGCTTAACCAAAAACATCACGAAAAAAATCAGCATTAACCAAAACAAAGCTAAATATATGCCATGCACCCAATTAAAATTGAATCATCCGTTCTTTGTAATAATGAAGTATAAATTTGAAGTAATTCAACATTTTACATATTACTCAGACAAATAACATAACAGATGAAAACCATTACAAAATAACTTTTGACAAAAAAACTAAAATGACTATTTATAAATGTTTTATCAGACTTGTTTTAACATATGAAGCTAAAACATAAAGGATGGCTGAAATAGAAGAAAGAAGTATTTGCAGTTTTAGAGAGAAAATGCTTAAAACGCAAATTCAAACTGAAAGTAGTTGGAGAAAAAGAACAAATAATGAACTACTATAAAATATCTACAAAAGCTGGGTTTAATAAATTCCGTCAACATTTCACAACATAATCTGATTGCCCAACGAAAAAAAAGCCACACCAACAGGCGTTCGGAAAAGGGGTCATCAAAGACTGTCTGGAAAGAGACTTAAGCGTTCTCAAAGCCGATAAAGATGAGACAGATTGGAATAGAATTCTAAAGAAGGCCAATGCCCACACTGAGTTGTCACGCCATTGAGGCAAGAAAGAATATAGTAAAAATAGTCTTAAAAAGTTCATGTATGGCACACTTGATTTAAATACAAGTAGAATCACAACGGGCCAACCTTGAGTAACAAAAATGAAGATTTTCTTCTTATGGATTAATAATTGAGCAATTTTTTACTTCGAGATTGACGTCACGTGGTTTGCACGAAAAGAATAGGAAAAAGATGAAAAGAAAATGTAAAAGTTTTTTTTTGTTTTGTTTATACATGATTATCTTATTTCAGTTCTTAGGGTTCAGATCTTGATGTTGACCTGAATTAATTTGGAACCACGAAAAGTTACTTCACACAATTTCAGCTCCATTCTTGGTCGGTTCCTTCTCCACTACAGGATCGAACCCGTACCCTGTGTAGTCTAAAATCTTAAAGCGAGTTTTTCTTCTAAAACAGCTATAAAGAAAAAGGTGTGTACATTTATATTCGAAGAACACAAAAAGACACATACATTGATTTATACGCGATATGATGTAGCAAGAATTTTAATTTAGTAACTTAAAATGTCGTCTGCTGTAATGAATTCAGTCCTTGAGCCATTAAGAATTTGTTTAGTTGCGTGAAAATTCGATCTTTAAATCAAAACTTACTCAGGTTGTGCACTTCTAATTTTGCCCACTATACGCTACATAGAATAATAATGAGCACCATATTAATTGTTATATTCTAATCTTGAAAAGAATGTCTAACGTTAAGAATATTTTTCTTCTTCTATTATCATCGTTAAAAATGATTTCATTATATAATTCTTTATTAAAAATTATAACTAATTTTGGTCAAAAAATATGTTTTGAGATTCTATAGGCTTGTAGATTTAAGTCTGTATCGATTTTAAAAAAGAACGTAATAGTGAGCTATATGAATCCCGATAAATTGTTATATGACTCAGTCAAATAATACAATTTCATAAATTCCAAAACTGCACAATATATCGTCCAAATTCCTGAAATCTACAATAAAAGGAAAAGCATGAGTGTCTGCCTGTGTGTCTCTTTACTAAGTACAGGACCGTTTTGATTCTGAAACGGGAATAAGAAGTTATTTTAGCCCCCTCAATGCCAAACGTTGCTCAAAAATTTTAATTAGTACGTTCGGGAGGTGTATTTGAAAAATGAATTTTTCTCAGATAAGAATTAAGAATCAGGCTTGATTGGAATATAGATTTAGAATTAGTCATTGCTATAAATAAAACTTCAGACGATTCTGCTTTTTCTTCCAATTATTCAAAAGGTGACAAGAGTGATATTTATTTGCTTAATAATATATTTAATTAAAAACGAGTTTCAATGGCAAATTATTGCACGTTCTTAATAGTTAATTATTTTTTATTCGTATATTCCTCAGCTTACGGCGCACCCTCGGTTCCTATGCAGGCTGATCAAAGTGGTCACCCACCAGCTTACTGACCACAGCCAGTGATGCTGGACTTCAGTGTTCTACTCGAAACTGTGTCGTTACAATCTGTCTACTGCTGAACGAAATTTTAAAAGATATTCTATTTTATTAGAAAGAAAATAAAAAATACTTACCTAACCATGTCGTTTAAGTATTTGCTCCTCGTAGGTATAAACACCATTTCTTCTTCTCTCAGAATGCTTTTCACGATGACATCTGCTGTTTCTTCGACAGGCATCAGTGGCAACAGGCATGGAAACCTAACAAATGTTATTCTATCTATTACTGTATACGTTAATGTGAATGACAAGAGAATGTTGACTTTCCAACAATCACATAGTCGCTTTGGTGAATGTCCTATTTAATACTAATTTATTCTTTCATATTATTATAATCATTCGATATTTTAATATCTGGTGAGACTAAATTAGGAGAAACATCAGTGTTCGGAGTACCGGTTAAATGCATACTTCGCAGTGGCACTTGACCTTAAAAAACATTGATGTAGGGCATACCGGGCAAATGAATACCGATCAGTGGCACTTAACTAGACCTATTATATATTTTGGATACTTACCAAAAGGACTATATGATTGTCAACATTCACCTGTGGAAGTCAACAACCACCCATTTCGGACAGTCACAGTAACATATACACCGAAGAGCCATTACATTATGACCACCCTCCATCTATAACAATGGGCTCGCCCAGGTTTTCATGGTTTCTCGCCCAGGATCAATATTTTCATGGGGCACATTAGGACCTATAATCCTCATAGAACAATCACTGACGTCTGTAAGCTACTTGAACATAGTTGCAGACCAGGTTCACCCATTCATGGTAACAGTTTTTCCTGCATGTCATAAGGGTCGAATCGTCGAGGAACATTCCAGTGAGTTTCAAGTCATGTCTTGGCCCCCAAATTCACCTGACCTTACTCCAATAGAGCATTTGTGGTCCTACTTGGAAAAACAAAGTCGTGCTGCCATGCTACCCCCTCGCAATGTGAGGGAATTGCAGGATCAGTTGGTGAGTGCTTGGTACCAGATACCTCAGACTACCTTTCAGCACCTTGTGGAATTAATGTCACGGCGGGTGCTAGCAGTTTTGAGGGCTAAAGGTGGTCATAATGTAATGGCTCTTCGGTTTATATTATTAAAAAATAAAGAACTCATATGTTAAAAATTAAGAGACATTTTAGATTCGGTCTATTAATTCCTGAATCGCCTGACATACTTTTATGAAATTTATTACAAACATAGTTCGTATAATGCAATAAACTTACAAATAAATAATACTATTCAACTGTTTAAAGAATTTAGCGATATGTTTATTAATGTCCTTTTTTCGACTGACAGTATTTATCTTAAATTAATATATTACTGATTATTTATCTTAAATAAATATATTAATCTTAGATTAAGATATTAATCATGAGATTAATATATTTTCTTTAACCCAAAGTCAGTAATAATGTATATTATTCAATACATTTTATTTAAGATATTTTGATTTTTCTTAAGTTTTGAATTATAATTAAATTAACTATAAGTTTTTAATTTTTCATTCAGGAATATCAATTTAACGTGACAAAAAATATCCAAACTGTCATATTTTCCAACGTTTAAATCAAATAGATATGAGGTATTAATTATTTAAAAATTTAATGCTCTAAATTGTCTATTGTTTAGCATAAAGGGATAGTTATAATGGTTTTGAAAAAAAAATCTCATCATGATTAAATATTATTCCTACTCAATTGAAATACAGTTTATTGTTAATATAAAAAAAAGTGTAAAACGTCAGGTGAATTATCCTGAGGTGAAGCAAATTTCAGATGATCAATTATCCCTGTTCTCAACTAAATACTGTACACGTTTACAAACATAATTAGTAATCAAGCAATTGGAAATACTTTTAAGCAATTTAGTATTGATAGAGCCGCCGTGGCTCTGGAATTCCGTACTCGAATACCGAACCCGGCTCGCACCGACCACAGTGCTGGCGTGCAGTGGTAGACAGATCATAGGCAGGAGTCCCCTTGCCATCAGATTAACCGTGGTAGGTTTTAGTGGTTTTCCTTTCCATGTTACGCGGGTTAGTTCCATCAAAAGTCCCCCACAGAGGAAAATTTCTCCTAATACTTAATCCTGGAGTTCTTCAGGATTAGGTTCGAAATTGCAATGAGTTGAACATTAGTAGTCGTAAAACCAAAATTAAGTCGCTGTTCAAAGTCGATTATAAAATAAAATAAAATAATGTAAAATAAAAGTTACAAGGCTGCGGCATCGAACAGGGTCGTCTTAAACTCAAAATTAGATCGTCTGTTCAACGATTTGCCATTATAGCAAGTGACGACCGTCAATTTTGCCCGGATACCACGTGACAATCTCGGTAGTTTTATTTTCGTGTCAATATAATTTCAAATTTTAAATGCTATTTAAATCTTCGGTCGAGTCGTAGTTGCTCAAGGGATAGAGCATTCGCTTCTCACTGAGATGAACGGCGTTTCAATCCCATCAGCGATGCCTGGTCGTTACGAATTCCGCACCTGTCTCGCACTGACCACAGTGCTGACGTAAAATATCCTCAGTGGAAGAAGGATCATGAGTTAGAGTCCCTTTGCCGTCAGGTTAACCGTATTGGAGGCTCCCGTGGTTATTCTTTCCATGTAACGCAAATGCAGAATAGTTCTCTCAAGGCGTTCCCTACAGTGGCAAATTTCTCCCGTTTCTTGATCCTGAAGTTCCCTTGTCTTCTGGATTGGATGAAAAATTACAAGGATACGGAGTTGAACATTGGGAGCCGTAAATTTAAAATTGGGTCGGCTGTTCGACGACGGTTATACGAAAATTGGTATCGATTACTAATTGGAAACTGGTTAATTAAGTTATAGATACTGTTGCCCACGTTATGTTATTCAACTCAATAATGATAATCATGTAAATATAATCTGTAATCAACCAACTATTAATGCCTGAGTTGTGATAATAGTATTGTTGATTGATGGAACTAATTGATTTAATAAGCAATATTTTAGCTGAAACTATTTTCTTCAGATCTCTACTAAATGCTGCTAATTATATAAACATAATTAGTTACTAATCAACAATGTTTTCGGAAAATATACTAAAGTAAAATTCTAATGATATAAATACAGTGCGCATAATAAAAAACGGACCACCTTGAATAACTTTGGACCTAATGATCGGATCTTCATGTTCTAAGACTCAAACTTTATGATTCGAGTAGGTAACCTGAAATATGCTAATTAGTTAGTTCAGACGAAGTTACAAAATCAGACACAAAAATGTACTTTCTCTGAGAAAACATACCTTCTTTCATCGATAGATTCACATTTCTGACCATCAAAATATAGGAGGTTTGGATGTTAATTTTATTTTTTGAGTATTTCTCAATAACTAGAGAAATTTTAAAGTGAATTGAAACATTTTTGCACATATTTCAGGGGTCCGAAATCCAAATCAGTTCAGAAAAGGTACGTTTATTCCGAAGACGCACGTTTTGGTGTTTGATTTAGCATAACTATAAATATCGTCTTCATTAATTAATTGACATATCTCAGGTCAACTCCCTCCCCGAATCATTAAGATTGAATTCTAGAACATGAAGATCCGATCATTAGATCAAAAGTCATTAAGGGTGGTTCGTTTTTTTTTTTTTTTGCACACTATACGTTGCCTCATAACCATGCCATAGTTTGTTTTCATTGCCTAATTTTTTATTGTACAACACAATTACAATTGAAGCAATTGTAATTGTTACCTCATTCTGAATCATTCTGCTTACCTCGTTCTGACATTGGATATGAGTCCTGTTGTAATGATGATGGGATTGATGGTCGTGAGTCGTATGTTGGCCTTCTTTGCTGCATGCAGTTCCATGTACAGTGACTCCATCAGACCAACGGTTGCGTGTTTCGATGCGCTGAAACATGAAACAAACAACAAAACGTTACATGGTATAGGGCAAAATTATATATTTAGAGGGCAGTATTACAGACAAAGAATATACATAGGAGAAGAAGTTCAATTTTCATTGCCATAATGAAAACCAGTCCCCCAAGGTGAGGTGTGGTCCCCACGTACAAAGGAAAAAACAACATTTAGGGGCAGAACAATAGAGGTTATTGAAGCAGGTTTGCACTCTCCTCTTCTCCCACCCACTGCCAGAGTTGGGGAGGAGAAAAAAGTTTTTTTTTTATAGTTATTCTTGACCTGTTCTGCATTTTCACACTGTTGGTAAACAGTACTATAGTATTAATTAAAATATTTCTTTGAGAATACATTTATATCATCCATGTATGCTAACACATTTTGAGAAAGAAAGAAAGAATAAATGGCTGCTGGCGGGAAGCAGCGTACCCAACCGTGCATGAAGCATTGCCCAACAACCGATTCACAGGTAGCGTACCTTCTGACTGTAACTTTGCTCCTTATGCACATGTGCTGGATCTTAGTACAAATGGACACTCATCTGAATAATACTCTGCTAAGTACTAGTATTTAGCAGAGTATTATTCAGTTTATCACCAAGTTGTTTTTCTGGTTAAGTGTAGCACCGAGCAGTTTTCCGCGTTAGTTAAGTATTCGAGGAACTGGATTTTTTCTCCCTTCTATAGTCTTTGGTTCAGATAGTTGACAAATTAATACGAACTATTCATACTAACTCTATGTAAACAATCTTTCATTTTTTTTACTGTCGTTGTTCTATTACGTCACGCTAGAACTGCACAGTGGGCTATTGGCGACGGTGTGGGAAACATTCCTGAGGATAATCCTAAGAGAGGTCATTACAATTTTGATCCTCTGCAGAGGGTATGGCAAATCCCGCTTCAGTAGCCCGACAACCTGCTGCTGACCTTTGATAGAACAGTTTCAATGCAGCACATCCTCGGACCCTACGCAGACTGATCCAAGTGGTCACCCACTCGCACACTGACTGCAGCCAGTGATGCTTGACTTCGCTGATCTGCTATGAACCGTGTCTTAACGATCAATCCTCCCCGGGATTCAAATGTTTCGGAATATTTTACATTGCAAAACTGTTAGCGCCATTCGAAAGATAACCCTTGAAGCATTTAGAAATGGTGTCCTTTTTTTACCCCAACGAAATTCGCATTGCCCAAAATGAGAGCAGGAATTTTAAAGCTTCTTCCTTTTTTGTCAATACTATAACTTTAAAAGCGTTCTTATATGAATAACACATCCTGTAGAATGATTTCAAAATTGCTGGTATAAAAAGCTAGAAACAAGTTATTAACTTTTTTTCCTTATTTGGTCTATCAGGACTTTGTATCGGAGAAAAAGACAGGGTTTCTAAATGCTTCAAGCATGATCTTTTAAATTCTGACAACAGTTTTGACATGTAAAATCTTCCAAAACATTAGCACCTTAAAGAAAATTTGTTTACACAGAGTTAGTTAGTAGAGAAGTGTTTTTATTATTTTTCCAAACGTCTGAAGTATATTTTTAATAAAGGAAATAATTATATAAAAAAAATATAAATTAAATTATTTGTAAAATATTTGGAAAGTCACCTTTTCAAGAACAAAAAATTCTAAATCATTTAAAATATTTGTTAAACCGTTTCTTTAAATATTGTAAACACCAGAGAGTTCAATTTTAACATTTCCCCCTGTGAATTCCTTTTAAAAATTTCTCCTCTTGGAAACTTCGAACTATAATAAAATTATCTTAACGTTCCGGAGATGATTACAGCTCTCCTGTCTGATAAATTATCCGAGCGCGTATCTCAGAGAACATGGGGGTGCATTTGCGATGCAAAAAGAGGCAATTAGCATAATAATTTTTGACATTTATATTTATTTGCCCTATAGATTTATCCGATCAGTTTCGTCCGGTATCACAGGATGATCCCGGTAGCTTTTATTTTCTGCCAATAGAATTTCAAATTTTAAATGCTATTTAAATCTTCAGTGGAGTCGTGGTAGCTATGGGGATAGAGCGTTCGCCTCTCAATGAGGTGAACCATGTTCGAATCCCAGTAACGACTAATAGATACGAATTCCGCACCCGGCTCGCACCGACCACAGTGCTGACCTAAAATATCCTCAGTGGTAGACAGATCATGGGTTAGTGTTCCCTAGCCGTCAGACTAACTGTGGGAGGTTTAAATCGTTTTCCTTCAGCATGTAACACAAATGCGGGTTAGTTCCATCAAAAAATCCTTAATGAAAGCCAAATTTCTCCCCATACTTGATCCTGAAGTTCTCTTGTCTTCTGGATTCGATTAAAAATTACAAGGCCATGGAGTTGAACATTGATAACCGTACACTCAAAATTGGGTCAGCTGTTCAACAACGGTTGTAAAATTAAATAAGAAATCTTCAGGTGTTAGATATAATGATTAATCTGATTTCATCAACGTTAAGTGTAAGAAAGACCCCAAAGAAAATATTTATGAAGTCAATTGCGACATTTTTAGTTTTAATAAATAACGTTTTATTACATTTACTCACTTTATTAACAGTAGAGTTTAATTTTGTTCCCTAAAAGACAACACATTATACACATATTAAAAAGTCTTTAAATATTTTTAAAAGGTTGTATATTGTATCAACTGAATGGTGTAATAGTCAGATGCTACGATACTGTGCTAAATTTTATGGTGAAATGTACTTTAACTGACGAAATTACTAGGGTCTCAAAACAATTTTTAATGCCAAAAAATAAAAAATAAGCATAAAACTAAGTATATCTAGAAAACGTGCAGAATCCCTAATTGGATAAAATCAACTGTTACTGTAATTAAATTTCAGTTCGCTTCATAAAAAACGGAGAAGGAATGAAGGTCTGATAAATTAAATAATTAAATAATAAAATGAATGACAGAAATCGGAAATAAATAATGAAGGTCGGAGGAAACGAATTGACATAAGACGCAAAAAAAAATGAATGAAAAAAAGTTTTAAATAAAAAAGAAAGTAATTTTAAAAGCATCCTATCATTTCTTGATTAAGAGCAATACTGTTTATTCAGAAGTTTTTAGNAGAAGACAGATCATTCACTTCTTATTTAAAACATAATTATTTTAATTTTTATGAAAAAGGGGGGTAGACTAATAAAATGTACGTACTCTAAGGGGGGGGGAGTGTACGGTAATATACGAAGGGGGAGGAGGGGTTTAAAATTTCTCCATTTTTGTGTACGTACTTTTTGAACGGCCCCTAATCTTGTCTTGTAAAAAGTAAAAAGGATATCCTAATATAAATTACATTTTTATTTTCTATTGCATTTTAAATATTATGAAAGATTTAAGAATGATTTATCACAGTTTATTACGGTTTTTTAAAACTTTCTTAAATATTTTTTAACCTTTAGAGGATCATTTTTTTTTAATTATGATTTCTTTTCGTGGTGCAATTATTTATGAAGTGATAAATATTACACTTTAAGTAAAATAATTTCATTATTCTTTTTTCGACTTACGAAGGTAAAAGATAAAGAGACAATAACTCATGTTGCAAATAATTCGTAGGCATGCTTTTAATTATTTTAATAAATATTTTCGCAATAAGTTGTGAACACAAAAATGTAAATTTTCATTCGTTGTAATTTCTATAATGAAACAACCTTTGTAAGCGGACTGCCTATGAAATGAATTTATGCTATGAAATAAAATACAAAAATGTAAACTCTTTTTAACTGACCCTCTGTCTATCTTGCATGTTGAAAACTGAAAAAAAATTCATGTTTTTTGGAGGGTGTTATTGATTGCTATTGATTTTGTCAGTTGACCGTTTGTAAGTTGTTAATAAGTTGCTTATAAGTTGACCGGGAAAAAATTAGGGAAGCACCCATGTTATTATATCTAACGTTACAAAATTTCACTGAGATGGTAACTGGTTGGTTTCACTGACTTGTATTAAGTATTAAACTGAAACCTTTTGTGAGATGACTTTATGAGAAATTCAATCTTATGAGAAATTCAATTCTTTTTTCAAATAATTATACATGTAAAAAATTAAACGTTTAAATGAATATAATGTTTAGTTTTCTAATTGCATATATGTTTTCGTGAATTGGGTTTTTAAGAACTAAAGATGAATAAACGTAATAAATAAACGAATGGCAAAATATTTACATATTCGTTTTATTGAAACTAATCAGTTTGATGCTAAACTTAGGCAATAAATTGTTATTTATTCTTACTATTTATCTTATTTCTTAAAATACATTGGCCCTTCGATAAATTAAATTTCGAATTCTTATTCAAAAAAATCACTTACATTTATTTTTATTTCGATTGATATCATATTAGGTAACATAAACAAGGTGAGCAACAATCACCTTCTATAACTTGATCAACTGTCTAAATGGGTCAACAAAATTCAATGCACCTCAAACCGTCAACTTATGCAGGTTTCAATTCCTTATCAACTTGATATAAGATATGATAAGAAAAAAACCACTATTCATCATTCCTCTAAAGTTGACCTAATGTCTAAGTGGATGACTAATTCAGTGGACTGAAGCTGGTTAACTTAAACAGATTTCAATAGAAATTCATTTTTAACATGATATAAAAACTATAGAGAAAAAAAACAATGACTCATTGCCCTTTATAAGTCGACCACCTATTTCAAATTACTAATTCAGTGCATCGCAAATGGTCAACTAATATGGGTTTGAATGGTAATTTACAATTTACTTGGTATAAGAAATGATGGGGAAAAAAACCCGATTATTTAATGTCTTACCAGTAGTCAGTCATGTTAGCAACACCGTGATGTCCAGCCATGGAGGCCACTGCCACTATATGACCACGGTTCAATTCTAGCATGCGAGGCAGAAACTGTTGCAGCATCTGCAAAGAAATGCATGAATGCATGTTTTAAGCATCATCTTCGATAAAATTGACAACACAAAAGGTCCTCCAATCTAAACTAAACTCAGTAAACATAGTACACACATGCAATGCGCATGTGTGCAAACGTGCTTGAAAAATTGGGGCTGTAACAAAGCGTTCTCCCGACAAATACCATTTAAAGCTTCGGAAAAATGACAAAATTTTCAAAAAGGAACGTGAAATCGATATTTGGAAAATTATTAAAACAGTCTCCAGAGTCACGGTGGCTCAGGGGATAGAGGGCCCGCCTTCCAATGAGCTGAAACGAGTTCTAAGCGATGACTAATAGATACGAATTTTTCATCCGGCTTATACCGACCACAGTGCTGACGTATAAGATCCGCAGTGGTAGACGGATTATGGTCTAGTGTCCCCGGGCCATCAGGATAACCATTTGTGGTTTTCGTGGCTTTTCCTCTCCACGTAACGCAAATGTGGGTTAGTTCCATGAAAAAATCTTCCACGAAGGCAAATTTCTTCCAATACTTGATCCAGGAGTTCCCTTGTCTTCTTGATCGGGTTCAAAATAACAAAACAACAGAGTTGAACATTGGTAGGCCTAAACTCTGCTGTTCAACGACGGTTATAAAATAAAATATCACTTGGAAAATGCATATCATATGTTTCCAGTATGGTTTGAAAGATAATATAATTGATAAACGGTCGATTTAAAGGGCCAAATTTTAGAAATCATCGCAAATCAAAAAGTTTTTTCACCTTCGTGGAGCAGTTTTCCACCCTGCAATCTATTCGGATTGTATGTGTACGAACAGGCGTGTTATTTTCTCATGGTCATGTAGTGTAATGAGGAAAACTGATTCTAAGAAATGAATTATATTTATAAAATATCATCTTTAGGGAGCAGTTGTTCGATCATAAATAAATCTGAATATTTTAGACTTTTCCTCGTACCTATCTATCAAGATACTGAACCGGACGAGTGATTTTAGGAAGCAGGATGCATAATTACATAAGCATTTTTACTCTTTGGCGTAACATTGCTATACGTTGCCTGCGAATCCAACAAAATATCATTTCATCTGGCATGTTTTTAGAATATATCACCGATAAATATTCGAAGATTCTTCTGTGTTTGGATTCTAAACTTTCCTATAAGTTCCAAATACACATTAAAAAAAGGCAGTCATCATGTTTGCTGATGGATGGCATTATAATGTATGAAAGGATCAGCCTGCCTAGATTTGTATGACACTTTCAATAGGTTTCATACCCTACAGATCAATTGTTCTCCGTAAATGAATTTTCTTTTTAAATGAGTTTTGATCAGCATTAAACATTTGACTATGATCGAATTGCCAACTTCTTTTTTTCTTTTTTAAGTGCGTACGTTACTAACAATTGCTTTTGAAACAATATTTTCCTCTTCGAGATGCGTGTTTTTTGGTGACTGTTTTACTTTATAACCGTCGTTGACTAGCCGACCTAATTTTTTGGATCTGCGAAAACTAATGTTTAGCTCCGCGGCCTTGTTTTTATACTAATCCAGATGCTAATGTAACTCCTGGATCAAGAATTGGGAGAATTTTGCTTTCGTGGAGGTCTTTTTGATGGAACTAACCAGCATTTGTGTTACATGGAGAGGAAAACCACGAAAAGCCCCACGGTGAGCCTGACATCAAGATGAATCATGATCCGTTGAGGATATTTTACGTCAGCGCCGTGGACGGTGGAAGCCAGATGAGGAATTCGTATCGACCAGTCATCGATGGATTTGAACTCGATTCACCTCATTGAAAGGAGAACCTTCTATACCTTATAAGCCATCGCCGCAGTGGACACTGTTTTAGTAATTTCCTAGCAACGATTCCACAATCCTTTTTAAAATTTTGTTCATTTTCCCGAAGCTTTTAATGGTATTTGTTGGGAGAACGCTTTTTTACAACCCCAATTTTTCAAACACGTTTACATACATGCACCTGTCAAGATTTCAAAACCACATTTTTAAATTTTGCATTATTTGTGCATTTTATCCCCGCAATTGTTTATTTTTTCCCCCACAAATGCAACTGAGAAAAACTTCTGACGCATCTATGTCTGTTATGAACAGTCTGCAAGAAGCGGTACTTATTTTTTCTTACAGCTACACGAGTGTTCAACAATTTCCCGCTTCCTTTTAAATAAAATATCTCGACGATCTTCAATTTCAGATTCCCACTTAAAAACATTTTATTCATTTTCTTTCCATTTTTCAAAAACAAACTCGTCAAATTCATTTTCATCCACCCATAACTCGAATTCCGGAATTTTTTTTTTTGGATCATCCCTAAACGTTTCACAATAGAACCTAATTCCATTGATGAACCTAACGGTTTCATCAAAATTTTTATTTTATTTTTGGAACGCATTTCGGCACCTGTAAAATTAGTCAGTTCCGTTTAGCAAACAGAAAACTCGTTATGCAACCACATTTATACCTGGTAGAAAATATGAATCTGTTGTGATATTATTGTTTATATTATTATTTTTGAAAAAAATGTAGGCAATTACGCAAAAAACATTTCGACATAAAAAATAGCTTCTTTTTCAGTTGCTTAACTTAAATGGAAAAAAAAGGGAAGAAAGCACGATTAAAATCGACATTTAGTATCAAATATCACAACAGAAAATTATAGCCTTAATTAATTAATTCGGTAATAATAATAAATTAAACTTCTGGTAAAGAATTGTCCCGCAGTGGTAATGACACAGTTTCCAGTTAAAGACCGAAGTCAATCATCATTGGCTGCTTTCAGTAAGCGGGTGGGTGACCTCCTTGATCAGCTTACAAAACAGGGGAGCCATCCCCTATGCAGAGGATAAAAATTACGATATCATGTCCTCGGATCATCCTCAGGGTTGTTTCCCCGACCGTCGCCAATAGCCCATTGTACAGCACTAGTGCGACATAAATAAAGCACCTAACTACCTACCATTTAGAAAAGAATAATAAAGAATGCACTGTTTTAGCGCAAAATGTATATTTAAGTCCAATTTCGAATGCTTTCGAATGCAAAATCACTGTCCAACAAATTTAAAATCTCACAATGAAAACTTGGATTGCTAGACTTCCAAAATCGGTGATTTTCTTTGGATTTTCGACACGAAAGGTTGCATTTGGGTGCTGAAAATTTCGATTTTTATTAATGGTTTGCAACTTTTACCGTTGTGATTCAGAAGCTAATTTTCAGGCAGCGGATTTTCTATCAGCTCTTCTAATACATATAAAATTTTCATCGAATTCTAAGAGTTTAGCTTGGGAGTATTTCCTTGTAAGAACCCTCATTTCAAACAACATGAATGACTATTTTAACTTTCTATACGATTGCCTCATAAAATGAATAATTTGTTATTTTTAGAATAATAGTTCCAGAAATTTGATCATTCCATTAAATGAATTATGTTATTTCAGCTTACCCAAAAGTGAGCCAAGGAATTGACTTCGAAACACCTCCTAATCACGTGACTCGATAGTTTGCAGATAGGTTGTCCAGAAAACACACCAGCGTTGTTGACGAGTAGGGTAACGTCACCGACCTCTTGCTTTACCCTGTTTGCCATCCTTATGACTTCTTCCTCGTTTGTGACGTCCACCCTGTAAGAGAAGACACTCCTCCCCAGAGATCTCAGTTTCGAAGCAATGTTCTCGTTGTTCTCCTAACAAACAAAATAAGGTTTATGTTTTAAAATGGAAGTTACAGCTGTGTATAGAGCACTTACACGTATCACCCTTCTCGCTCCCGTTCTGCGCATGCTCTGTAAAGAACCGAGGTTGTTTTGTAGTAACTGCGCTGCGCAGAGCTTTAGTACATGGTGATGCGTGAGAATGTAAAATTTCTTTACCGACACTAAAGCTATACTTTTAATGCAGCAACCAAAGGTTAAAGAAACTAAACTTAACTTAAATTTAACTCCCTTATCACCATAATCACGTGATTCTCCCTTCACGGCACACCATACCATAAATGAAACGAGCTTCTCTGACTCTAGAGGTCCAAGTTCATACGTACGTATTCTAAGAACGGCACTCTCTGATTATTTTATTTTTTATTCTGTAACAGTCTTTGAACAGTTGGACCCAATTCGGGCTTACGACTACTACTCTTGAACTCCGTAGCCTTGTAATTTTGAACCCAATCCGGAAGACAAGGGAACTCCTGGATCAAGAAGTGGGTGAAATTTACCATCGTGGAAAACTTGTTGATGGAAATAACCCGCATGTGCGTTACATGGAAAGGAAGACCACGGAAACCTCCCCTTGGTTAGCCTGGTGGCAAGGAGACTCTAATCCACGATCTGTCTACCACTGAGGATATTTTACTTCAGCACTGTGGTCGGTGAGAGCCAGGTACGGATTTCGTATCGAACAACCATCGCTGGAATTGAAACCCTGGCAACCTCATGGAGAGGCGAGTGCTCTATCCCTTGAGGAATCACAGCTCAAGAATAGAATATGCTTTTGTTTATTGCCTTTTAACAAGATTATAAAAATTATTAATTTGATAGTTGTGATGGCTCAGGGGATAGAGCGTTCGCCTTCCCATGAGGTGAACCGATTTCGATCCCAGCGATTGCTGTTTGACATGAATTTCACATTCAGCTTGCACCGACCACAGTGCTGACGTAACATATCCTCAGTGCTTAACGGATCATGGAGTCCCCTCCTCGTCAGACTAACCGTGGTGGGTTTTTGTGGTTTTCTTCTCCATGTAACGCAAATGCAGGTTGGTTTCATCAAAAAGTGCAACCGAAAGCAAATTTCTTTCAATACTTCACCCTGGAGTTCCTTTGTTTTCTGGATTGGGTTCAAAATTACAAGGCTACGGAGTTGATAGTAATCGTAGTCCCAAAATTGAGTCTACTGTTCACCGACGGTTATAGAATAAAATATGAATTTGATCTATTTCATTATGATGGAACGCTCTTTATCGTATTATAATCAATGTTCATAAGTTTAGGTTTAACTCGAGATTATTAAAAATGTATTTAATTCATACAAAACTCTTCCGGTACTTACTAACGTTTCTCCAAACAATTCACTGATTCAAACCACTCTAATATAGACTTTTAAAAAATATCAGTTTAGCTTTTTGCCTTATCAGAAAATTCTTTGTTTAATAACAATGCTTAAAATTCGCAATACCGCATTTAATGCGTCCAACGGATAAAAAGTGGTCAGGCGATTCCCCTGTTGCCGTAAATGAGAATGCTTTATAAATGAAAATAAAACTGTTTTCATGAATTCACGTTTCATACGGAAGTTGTTCAGATATGTGACAAAATAATTAAAACACTTCTATACTAACTCCTTGTAAACAGTCTTTCATTAGGCGGCTTTAACAAATGGTATCATTTTTACTCACAAAAAATTCGGTTCCACAAAAAAGATTAGAGGAAGTTAATAACTTCTTTCTAGCTTTGATGCAGCCGATTTTGAAATCATTCTATTGGATTTGTATAAGAATGCTTTTTTTTAATGATGGTGGTGTATTGAAAAGGGAAATCAGCTCTTTACGCATATTTTTGGTCTACGCGAATTTCAAATTGCACCAAAAATTTGTCATGATAAATGCTCCAAAATATTTGTTAAACATAATAATAAGTTTGTGACTTGTATTAATTATTTTGGCTATAGTATGCAATTACTACACAAAATTTCGAAAACGAAAATAAAATATTTATGGAGATATAAACATTTTTATAAAACCTTGCGGTTTAAAAAAAGTTTTTGCCTTACGCTTTTTAACTATAACTGCAGAAATATTCATTAAAATTAAGCAAAATTTTTAGAGTAATTTTTGATTAATGAAAATTTTAAATTTGAAAAAAAAGACGTTAAAATTGCGAAAAGTATAAGCATTTAAAATCATCTTTGCATAATAAGCGCATAAGCATTTTTTTGTTTTTTGTTCAACAATGATTTTTTGAATTTGACAAGCAATTAAAAAATTCTATTTGAATATGTAAAAAAATTCTATCCATTTTTTAAGTAGCTTTCGCACTTTTTCTTCCTATTTCCTTTAAGAAAATTTTACTGATAAGGATGTTTCCACAAATTTTATTTTGTATCATATTACAAAATTTCATAATAAATGATAATATACCGTCCAATGATGGTCCGGACAACAAAATGCGATTGTATAAGGAAAAGAAACATGTGAAATAAAACATATTTTTACAGGGAATAGTACTGCCGATGTCATTTAAAATAAATCTAAGTTCGTAGTACAAAATATAATTTGTGAAAAGCCCCTTAAAATTCACATCTTCCTTTCCAAATTTACAAAAGCTACTTGGAAAATTCTTAGAATTTTTTTTTTAAATTTCCAGGATATTTAAATTTTTTCTTCTTCATATTTTATCTAATACGATTCGAAACAAAATTATGAAAACAAATGTATTGAATGAGCAATATGCACAGTGTGAAACGATTATTTTAAATGGTCATATCTTGCACAATTTTTAAAAATTTTTGTTTTCAAATTTTCAAATTGTATTTTTGCTATTAATTAAAAATTACTATAAAAATTGCGTTTACATTTACTGAATATTTCTGCAGTTATGATTAGAAAACTTTTTTTTATAAAAATGTCTATATTTACATTTTCTTTTGTAATGCAAAATGAAAGATTCGAATCATTTTTTGGATACAATTGATAAGTTAGAAGATTTTCGGAAAGCATATGCGATTAAAAAACCGAAACAGTGAGCTATTGCCTTTTAATTTGTTAGTTATCCTCTCTCATATGTGCAATAAATCAGCTTTCTCTCATTTGTTAGTTAATTTTTTGTAATATTTTATTTGCTTCTACAGATTTTAAAAAAAAATTAGCACAGAAAGTAAGTACAATATTTAATTGTCCCGCAGTGAACTGATCGTAAAGACACGGTTCCCAGAAGAACACTAAAGTCAAGAATCGTTGGCTGTGGTCAGTAAGCGTGTGGTTGACCACCTTAACTAGCTTGCGTAGATACTGAGGGAGCGCGGTATCGGCCCTCGTTAAACTGTTCTACCGTAAAGTGCTCGACTTCGAGTGCAGGTCGTTAGACTACCAAAGCAAGAGTGCCATCCCCTCTGCAGAGGATCAAAATTGTGATGGCATCTCTTCGGGTCATCCTAAGGGTACCCATAGCCAATTTTGCAGCTCTAGTGCGACGTAAATAAAGTAAACACCTACCTTAAATTTCGTCAGAACTATAATTTGTTTTTTCTTCCCTTATAACTTTATTTTACTTTTTCGAGCAATTGGTAGTATTTATTATGATGTGTATAGAAGTTATTAATTTAATATAAATCACAACAAAAAAATATTAATAGAAATGAAATATTAGTTTACACATATTCATAATGGAAATTTAAAATTAGAAAATGCAAATATACAAGAGATATCGATAATGGCTAATGCCTGTGTAATATTCGATTTTCTTCAAAAAAAGAATTCAAACTGACTTTAACATGAACATATTTTCTGTACCCTTTTAAACGAGGTATTAACCAAATACAAGATTATTGATATGTCATTTGGCATCGAGTGTTAAAAAACACTTTTTTTTCTTTCGTAATTTGTTGCCGGTCTCTAAATAACTTCAATGATAAATCGCGTGACACTTCTAAAGACATGATTCTCTAAATATTTTTGGAGAAATATTGAGTTAGTATAGAAGTGTTTCCACAATTTCTTTCCAATCCTTGTATTTTTATTTGGAGCTTAATTGACTTCAAGATTTTTTTCTGCGATTACTATACTGAAAGTAGGCATTTGATTTAAAAATTTAGAGCATCAATCTAATGCAATTTATTAAATTAATTAATAATTTAATAGAATAATTTAAAATATAATACTATTGTAAACTTCTAATAAGTAATGTAATTAATAAGCAATGAAAAAAATTATCTCTCGATAATGTTAGATAATCGTTTAGGTGTAATTACTGCCAAAACTAATCCATGAGAGTATTAGTATGGGTGATAGTTAAAAGTCAACCACCCTGCATTTTTAAAAGTTTTTATTATATGACCGGAAATAATACTTTAATGTTTAAAATTTCGAACCCAACCAAAAATGATTAGTCTTGCAGTGGACTGATCGTTAAAACAAATCACCGAAACCAAGCATCACTGGCGGCGGTCAGTGTGCTGGTGGGTAATCACTTGGATCAGTCTGCAAAGAATCCGAGGGTGTGCGGCATAGGTCCTCGTTAAACTGTTCTGCCTTAAAGTGCTCGTCTTCGCTCCCAAGTCGTCTGGCTACCAAAGCGAGGAGGGCATCCCCTCTGCGGAGGTTTAAATTTGTGATGGCATATCTTCGGATCATCCTCAGGGATGTTTCCCAGACTGTCACCAATAGCCCATTGTGCATCTCTAGAGCGAAGTAAATGAAATACAAGAACAACAAATAAGATTAAAGTAATATGTTTACGTACCTGGTTGATGTCCCACAAAACCATAACGGCACCAAGGTCAGACAATCTAATGGCTAGTTCTTTTCCCAGACCATGTCCTGCACCGGTCAGGAGAATGATTTCCCCTTTTATGCTTTTCTTCGGTTTTGGAAAAATGCACCAAAAACATCGGATGAAAGGATCAGCAACCATCAAAAAGAAAAGTTTGATAGTGTCCACCATGAATCGAAAGCAACCCATGACCACGAGAGTTTATATGACCACAATTTTTTTTTTAAAAAAACGAAAGTTAATTCAATGAAAATTGGTTTCTCCCATTGAAAATGCAGAAAAAATAATTCTAAATTGCTTTTTTAAATCGGAGACTTTTTGCTTTGTATCTTAACTAGTAAGATAAACTTAAGAGTTACGAACTGAGCATTAAAATGTTGAAACACAAGCGAGCAAGATCAACTTATAAGCAGCAACACCAACTTCATACAACAGTGATTTAAACTTAGTAGCATCAGAAGCAGTGTCGACTTTGAACTAATCAGTCGTTCATACGTGGAGAGTGAATAGTAAATTAAAATTTTGAGAAATCAAACGAGAGGAAAAATCGAAAGAGTATTTTGATTTCCAACAATTTGTGAGGAGCGACCTTGGGTCTTTGTAATTGGTGCCGGCATAAAAATATTTTCGAGGGAAATTGCCTTTGTGGTTTACATGTCAATTCCTCAAACGTCAAGTTTTGATTGTCAGCTGGGAACATTCATCAATTGAAAATCATGCGGTCTAATTATGTCAACTCTCTTTTTATTTCTTTATTTTAAATTTTGTTTTTTATTTATATTCTCTATAAAAAATAACAATTACTTTCAGTTATTGACTTTTTATACTATATCAGGTATTTAAAGGGATTTAGCACCTTTTTTAGATGTAAAAACATTCGAATTTTTTTTCCGCTACGATTTTTCAATTTCTTGACATGAATTGCGAGAAAAAAACTTTGTAAATACTCAATAGCAATAAAGCTTAGTAAATAAAATGTTTTTTGAATTATTTAACTTTATAGTGTGATAAACAAAGAAAAGTTGTGTTTTGAGTTAAGTTTTAGAGCAACAAACAGATCTTGTAAGACTGTATATTGTCATCTAGAAAGCAGACCATTAAAAAATTAAAAAGTAAGTGAGAAAAGTAATTGGCACATCTTCACTGTAAAGTATAGTTTTTAATCAGGCAATACTTGTTTTGATGACTTTAGTTCCTCTGTTCTCGTAACAAAATCAACTGGTATATTACATTATACACTCTATTCAAAATGAAATTCCTATAAAAAATAGAAATAAAATATTGTTATAAAAAATAAAAGTAAACTTTACAGTAAGAAATTTTTAAACTCTTTAAAATCATTGGTGCGAAAACGAAAAAAATATTAAACAAGTTTTGATCTTATGATACAATCATTATAAATGTTTATTGGAGTAGAACTTCTCTAATTAATTATTTATTGATGATGCAAAACTTCAATAAATTGGAGCTGCCAATATTTGAAGTTATGAAATCAGACCCATTCTTTCTTTAAAGAAACATAAATTTTTTTGTCGGATGAAGTTTTTTAATCTGCTGAACGGGCAGTATGATGGTCAGAGAGCTGATCAGAGAGGTTCGAAACCCGGTCAGAGGGTTTTCTTTCCTTTTTTCTCCTATCTGTACTGTGGGAACAACAACGTTGGAAATATGGTTCTCACTGAAAGAGTGCTTTTCCTGATAACCGAATGCGGACTCGAAAAAAAAAGGATTATTGATTTCAAAAGAAAAAGAGAATAGCCGTAATCTAAAAAATATTATCCCAATAGTATATTTCATTTTATAACGTCACCGAACAGCCGACAGACTTTTCAAGTTTACGACTACTAATGCTTAACTTCGTATCCTTGCAATTTGGAGCCCAAAACAGAAGACAAGGGAACGCCTGGATCAAGTATTGAGAGAACAAACCCGCATTTGCATTTGGAAACCACGAAAACATCCCATGATGGTATTAGGACTCTAACCCATGGTCCGTCAACCTCTGAGATATTTTTCGTCAGCACTGTGGTCTGTGCGAGTCGGGTGCGGAATTCGAATGGACCAGCCATAGCTGGGTTTCGAACCCGATTCACCTCATTGGAAAGCGAACGCTCTATTCCCTGAGACACCACAGCACCCACTATTATCCCAATGGGTTTTGTACACAAAAGAGTAGTTTAGACACAAAATCAAATACAAAAGCGGTTGAATAAACATTTAGATTCTTCACGCTCAGTATATGGGAGTATAATACAAGTTTGAAAGTAGGGTTTCAATAGTTTGGTCTGGACATTGGTCATAAGTGAAGTCCGTTTAATGTTATTTTCACGTTTTGCACATTTCGCTATCTCGCGGAAGTCGTATTTTTAAATTTTTTATTTCTCTAGAACTAATTTACTAATTCCTATTAAGTTTTGGATCTTGTTACTTTAAGTTACCTTACTTAATATGATTCAAGAGACTGTATAACTTCCAATTCTAAATACTTTCGACTATTAGTAAAATAAACAATATAAAATAATAATTGCATAAAATTATCTTTGGCAAACGAGTTTTAGATTTAAGCTTGCGATTTGTTTAAAACGCAGAATAGATATAGCGAAATAAGTAAAAGGTGAAACTACCATAACTCCCCTATTTAGAGTGACAAGTATTCAAATCGTCAAACAAAAGGTATTCAAAGTACCCTTTTATGTTTGATTTCGTAACTTTAAGCATAATCTGCATTACTTAATTAGCATACTTTAAGTTAAGGTCTCTAACCAATGAGATTAAATCTTAGTATTTAAAATCAAACCAATATATCAAAAGTTATACAGGTAGCAAAAAAAAATTTCTTTTTTTGCTCATTATTTAGTAAGAGTATAACGCAATTCAGTAATATTACAGAATTAAAAATTTAATGTAACATAAAAGCAGTGATGAAAGCCAGACTGGTACGCGTGCATTGATTCTTCAAAAGGAAACATTTAAATATTTATATGCCTCAGAATTTTTTAAAAAAATCATTATCTAAATTCCTAAATTTGTAAATGTTCTTCTATTTTTTTTTATTTTTGTAAAAAATAGTCATATCCAGCAGTTACTAAATCTATAGAAAATATAATCTGCAACTACTATAAACAATTAACCTTACTTTTTTTAGGCTTATTGCTGCGAGACGATGCAGTTTTAGAAAAATTAGAAAGCTTGCCGTTCTCAATTAGCCTAATTTATTTCAGACAAATAAGGCCTAAGTAGTGAAGGCTTGCTGTAAATATTAGAATTATTAAAGGTTGAAAGCTATAAGCCTAAACAACTTTACTCTGATAGAGTCATCTTATTTTTTAGTTAGCCTAAAAGCATTTGGGCTGATTGTATTAAGTCTAAAATATCAGGTAGATTTGTATTATTATTATTTTATTTTATTGCCATCCTTGAAACACCGGCCTAATTTTTGAGTTAACGATTATTAACTATCAGCTCCGTAGCCCTTAAATGAAATCCAGAAGACAAGGGAACTCTTGGATCAAGTATTGGGAGAAATTTGCCTTCGTGGAGGATTTTTTGATTGTACTAACCCGCAATCGCGTTATTTGGAGAGGAATACCAGGAAAACTTCCCATGGTTAGCCTGACGCCAAGGGGACTCTAACCCATGATCCATCTACCACTGAGGATATTTTACATCAGCACTGTGATCGGTGCGAAATTAGAATGGACCAGCCGTCGCTGGGATTCAAATCCTGGGCAACTCATTGGGAAGCGAGTGCTCTATCAAGCAGATTAGGAAATACTGAAAACTTTTCAATTACCCTGGCACATTGAAAAATACAAGATTTTTTTTAATTAGTCTACGACGCACTTTACGTTACCGCTTGAATGTAGATATCAGTCATTCTACAGATTGCCTACAAATGTGGGAATTAAGTAGGGTGATCGAAGTGCCCAAAAATTATTTAGTTTCCCAGATTACCTCTGTAATCAGCAAACCTATTAGATAATCTTCAAATCACTTACTAGGCACTCGTTGAACTGAAAGTAAGATCTTCGCTGGAACAACAGCAACGTTTCTGTACACTAACATAATGTTATTTATTTATTTTTTCGCCATCTAAAAATAAATTTTAAAAGTGACTGCAATCAACTCAATCGTTGCAAGAATTCCATCACTTTTAAAAGAATTCTAGCATTCAAAGAGTTTCGAATATTATTACAATGAATGAAATGAATATTTATTTATTTTTCAATAACTTAAGAATCAAGTCTATCCATAGAACTAAACAATCAACGCATTGGATGATAGAATATGAGAAACAAACTTTAATGATACGGAAACCATTAATGCACACTCTTTGGCTAACCATTTAAATTACGAAAAACCCTCAACATCGCACTTTAACGGATTGGCTGGGAAATGTGCATATTAGGGTTTTACGAGCTTTAGTGGTAATATGTACACGCATCAAGAAATTATAGAAGCAAATACAAATGATTATAAACTTACCAATTGAAATATGAACGATTTTAACATTACTTTTAACGAGTAAGAAAATCATTGACACGCCAAGAAAAACAGAACGCATTTATGTATTAGAAACAAGTTGCAATCTTCCAAAAACATAAACATGGACCAACCCTAATCATGGACATCGAATATTAAAACTCAACGAACGTACGAAACTAGCCCCGGCGATCTTCTTTTTTTAGTAAACTAGGATTATAATTAATTCTTCGGAAAAAAACAAATGGTATTTCAAGGTGAACGGGGATAATTTATCATAGAATATTACACGGAGTATCAAGGCTGTTAGATAACCAAAATCGTTCTGGAATTTTAAGTTTTAGTAAATCCTTTTCTATTCTATTACGTTAACCCTTTAAGATGAGAAGAAAAAACAAGTTTGAATTCGATTATAGGCTTTTTACCTACCAAAATGCAATTCTCATGGTTTCACGTGCTCAATTTAAATATGGATCTTAAATCTTTCCTCAAAAAAAGTATAAGATTTTTATGCGTATTTTCTTTCTTGAATATTCATTTATTTGTTTGTTTATTTATTTATTTTTGTAGCGCCATTTATTAAGTATTCATTGAAATGGTAGTAATGCAAATATATCACGACATAAAATATCCCTTTTATCACTTTAAAAGTAATTTAAACTTTGAAGGAATTCTTTTGATTTGTAAAAAATCAAATTACTGCACACAAAATGCATAATACTTTAATATATATATATATATGTATATATAAACAAATGTTTAAATATTAAAGTTCAAAATGTAGAGATAACAAGGGAAAAATTACAGTACAATGAAAAAAGGGGAAAAAAGTAAAATAATAATAAAAATAAAAATAGCAAAAGACCGGGAGAAAAAAGGGACAAAAAATTTTAGGAAATCCGGAATATAAAAGATATAATCTTTTTATCAGCTCACACGATTATATCCGCAATATTATATATACGATTATATTTGCAATATTAGAAAGCACTCTTTTTTGCGGGAAAAATTACAGAACAATGAAAGAAGGGGAAAAAATAAAAGAAAAATAACAATAAAAATAACGAGAAACCGGGGGAGAAAATCAATCCGAAAAAAAAAGGACAAAATTTTTTAGAAAAATCCGGAAAATAAAACGTATAATCTGTTCATCAGTTCACACGACTATATGCACAAAAAAGAGTGCTTTCTAATATTGTATCTATGTAGCCAAAGCAAAATATATCAATACAATAGTGTGAGGAAAACTCAAAAAATTTTACAAAAAAATTACAACTATATATATATATA